AAAGCAGCTGTCCTGGCAGCGAGTGGGCCATTCTCCACAAACCCACACAGCTCCGTTAACAAGTAACTACAGAATCATCAAGGGAGTCAACGTGGGTCAGGCCCCATGGAGAGTCACTGTCATGCGCCAGGGACAATGCGAACGCAGGTAATCCATTCCGTTCCTGCTTGGACCCCATGATACCGCCCAACCAGCACTCCGCTGCACTTCTGCCTATGTTACAAGAGCCCCAGTTTGCCATCCTGCTTTCGCCAGGCTTCGAATATACAGCAGCTGCATAGCTGCTCTCCCCCATAGTGTGGATCGAAGGCCCTTTCCCGGGAAGCACACACATCGCCCAGCATTCTTGCAAACTTGCAGGAGGGAGGGAGGGAGGGAGCTGCCTAGGACCACTCAAGTGTGCAGAGGCTCAGGGCAGACAGACGGCTCAGCGATCACTGCCATCCATATTTAATTACTTTCCCCCCTTTGTTTGTTAATTTTTAACTAGAGCCCGCCTGCTCTCAAGGGCCATTAGGAGTCCCAGGCCGCAGGGTTCAGTGAGCAGAAAAAATGCTTGTGACAGGACATACATTACTTGGCATTCTTGCCTCCCACTTCGCCAGAGAGGTGTGGAGCTTTGGGGGATTATTTTCGGCCTCGTGCGCTCAGTCCGCCCCACCACAAGTCGTGAATAAAAGATAGCGCTCCATTTGGAGCTGATTTTCCTTTTCCTCCCTGTCAGAAGCTGTTTCCCTCACGTTCGGCTTCATGTTCCATTTTGTTCTCCACCACCACCACCAAGTTTCCAGGCAGCAACTTTGAAGAGGAGGAAGTCTAGCAAAGTTTCGTTCGCTCAGGAAAGCCGCCATGCTTTGGTGTGCCCCTTTAGCTTGTGTGGGCCCCTTAGAAGAAGAAATTGGATTTATGCCGCACCATTCACTACCCAAAGGAGTCTCAGAGCGGCTTACAATCTCCTTTCCCTTCCCCTCCCCACAACAGACATCCTGTGAGGTAAAAGAAGAAGAAGAAGAGATTGGATTTATACCCCGCCCTTCACTACCCAAAGGAGTCTGAGAGCGGCTTACAAATCTCCTTTCCCTTCCCCTCCCCACAACAGGCACCTTGTGAGGTAAAAGAAGAAGAGATTGGATTTATACCCCATCCTTCACTACCCAAAGGAGTCTCAGAGCGGCTTACAATCTCCTTTCCCTTTCCCTCCCCACAACAGGCACCCTGTGAGGTAGATGGGGCTGAGAGAGCTCTGACTGAGAACTGCTCCTGAGAGAACAGCTCTGAAAGAACTTGTGACTGACCCAAGGTCACACCAGCAGCTGCATGTGGAGGAGTGGGGAATCAAACCCTGTTATCTCAAATTAGAGTCCATGCTCCTAACCACTACACCAAACTGTCTCTCAGAAGTCCCCGGCCACATCCCAAGAGAACACAAAGTCAATCCTCCCTGCTGCAAAAACCTCAGCCAAAGACTACATTCCCCAAAGTTCAGCTCTTTCACCACCTCCAGCCCATCTGGCTTCAGTGGGAACCTCTTCTATTTGTCAAGTTGGAGGAAAAACATGACCGAGAACTGGGAGGATAATTAAGATAAAACCATTTTAAATAAGCAACTAGTAAATCGCTAACAGAGTATTGTCAGTAGTTCAGGTTTCACCAACAGGCTCCTGGATTACGTCCTGATGATGGGAGCGTAAAGTCCTGTCAAGTCGCGGCCAACTTCAGTACTGTAGGGGTATCAAGGCAAGAGACGTTCAGAGGTGGTTCTGCCATTGCCTGCCTCTGCATAGCAACCCTGGACTTCCATGGTGGTCCCCCATCCAAGTGCTAACCAGGGCCGACCCTGCTTTACTTCCAAAAGCTAGATTGGGTTAGCCTGGGCCATCTAGGCCAGGTGGTACCATGTCCAAAACAGAACGTGTAAATCCTAGAAACAAGAGGAAAAGCAGCTTGCCTCCTTCACAAAGCAAGCAGCTTCCAAAAGATGAAGAAAATGGTGAATGGAACAAGGTGCAGGGACTAAAGTTCTGCAAAGATCAACAACGACTTCACTGACCTGATGGCACAGACTTGGTGTTTAAAACTAAGCCCTTGTCGATGTGGAATTTTGTCCTGGTCTTCCCTAGGACACTTCCAGGAGAAAGAGCTTTAAGCGGTCCGGCACGCTGATTCAGGATTCTCAAAAGCTGCAGAGGGACCACACTAATCCTCCCCAAACCCCAGTGGCTCTACAAGGGATCGCCGACTGTAGCACAGGCAACACTGTCTGGTGGACAGACTGAGAGGAGATGAGGAGCAAAACTCAAGGCCAACTCTATTTTTTTCGTGCCGAGGACTGGACACAGAAACTTAAGTTACAGGGAGTTGCGGCATGATTATGGAAACATCAGCCGCTATCAGTACAAATCCTCATTAAAAGGTAGTTGGCCCTGCAATTTGGAGCAATTAACTCACTGACAATCTCTTTCAGCAGCTGCATGGAAGCTCAAGAACCTGGTAGGGACACAAATTATACATCTATAAAAGGGCTATAAGCTGATATCACATAGCCTGCCCGAGGAGATTAGGAAAGTTTCTGCTCTCCCAGCTTTCTGAAAACTATGCAAAACTGAACTATTCAAGAGGGCTTTTCTCTATGCAGGAAACAGGGATTCCACTGTACAAAACGGTCCACAAACTTACTTGAATAATATGAGCAAGGGATTGTGGTCTATACTGCTGTATATAGCTTCTTGTGAGCAGGATCCTGTTGTGTACACCTTGTACTGCTTAATGTGTATGTACCATTTTAACACCTATGCTAGGCTTCAGTTCCTTCAGGTGGTTCCAGACTTCTAAAATCCTAGTGCATTGCTTATTGAACGTTCTCATTTTGGCTGGAGATCCTGGAGGTTTTTTGTCATCTTCTGGGCGTGCAACTGCGGTCACTGGAGGTGTGGAGAGGGAAGTAATTGGGAATTGACACAGAGAGTACTCCATCTTCCAGTGTTATACCTCTGAGGATGCCAGTCACAGCGACTGGCGAAACGTCAGGTTCTACAATGCCAAGACCACGGCCACACAACCCGGAAAATCTACAACAACTAATGAAGTCCGGCTGTGAAAGCCTTCGACAACATATTTGTGAATTTCCTCCATTGTGCAGGGGGTTGGACCAGATGACCCTGGAGGTCCCTTCCATCTCTATGAGTTTTGCCACCCACACCCTGTGCCTGCCAACGAGCTGAACATCTAGCTAGATCTTGAATGCGTTCGTACGATACCGCCATTGCTAAGCAATTAAGAAATACCGCTAGCACTTTACGATACTGAATTGTTTTACAATTGAACTGTTTTTAGATGGTTTTATGATAATTTCAACTGTTATTTATGTATTCACTTTTATGTAAGCCGCCCTGAGCCTGCCTTGGCGGGGAGGGCGGGGTATAAATTGAATAAATAAATAAATACGATCCATTTTGCTGACTGCGCTGACTCACGATGCGTAATCCACCTGGAGTCCCCATGAGAAAAGCAGACTATAAATAGCGTAAGGCCAGGGCTCTTTTTGTAGAAAAAGTCCAGCAGGAACTCATTAGCATAATAGGCCACACCCAACAGCAGGAACTCATTAGCATATTAGTCCACACCCATGATAGCACAGCTCATTACCACATTAGGCCACACCCCCATGTTACCAGAAGTGTGGTTATCCAGCCACACCCACCTTTTGCTTCTTATTCTGTTTACCTTGTTTGTTGTCAAAACCCAGGGCTTTTTTGTAGCAGGAACTCCTTTGCATGTTAGGCCACACGCCCCTAATGTAGCCAATCATAATGAGTTTCTGCTGTTGGGTGTGGCCTATTATGCTAATGAGTGCCTGCTGGGCGTGGTCAACTTGGGAGCCTCCGTTCCTGTGCGTTCCTGCCCAAAAATAGCCCTGAGCGTAACTTAATTATGCCCCCCCCCCCGCCAAGATACTTTCAACTGTACATGCCTGGGATTGAAATTGGGAGCCCCTGCATGCAAGCACGCACTTGACCGCCACGGTATAGCTCTTCTCCAATGGCATCCTTCCTCCTCTCAAATTTGAAGGAGACTGCAATGAGACGCCAATTAGCATCCGCCTATAAGAGCTGGCCACTGAACCTCGCATGGAAACATTTTACACACAAAGGGTGGGCATTAAGACAGGCGACGCCATTATCCACAGCTGAATGCGGTCCAGTGGAGCAGGCTAGACTTCCACGCCCCTTTGCTTCTGATATCATTTAAATTATAACTTTTAGAAAACAGAGCAGCTCTCCCCTCTAGGCCGCTAAGCCTCAACTATGCTACAGCACTGGGTGCTAACAAAGCCGCTCACTGATAGTGGATCTTAGCCAGGAAGTCTGGCCTGGATTAAAGAAGCGCCAGTTGATTCTCCCAAGCATGTCTTCTACTGAAGGTCAGACTACCTGATCAAGACTCCTGAGGCCATGAAATACTAGAGCTCTCAAAGTAGTTTTCTATTAACTCTCCGCCAAAAAACATAAAGACCCTTGGCATTGTCCCTAAATATGATATTGTTTTATGGATCGTTCTTTTCGCTGGCTTCAGGTGCCCACACTGCACGAACAGTCACTCACACGCGCTTACGTTTATCCGCTTGGAGGCCATGATTCAGCCTCGGAAGCTGAACAAAAATGCTGGAAAGACAAGTCTGGGAAATAGAGTCCATATATACAAGGGGGGGTATATATGTGTACAAAGACCCAGCAGGTTTCTCTAACTGCCTTGTGCGAACGGAGGTGAGATTACTCAGGAAGAGAGAGGTGGTTGAGTGTCGTATCAGGCAGTGGAGGGGTGGTCATTTTTCGTAAGCCTGTCCCCAGTAGTCCCAGGAAGTCGCGTCAGCTTGATCGAGATGTGATCATTAATTTCTCTCTGGTGTGCCTGTTAGCCAGACAGGTGTTAGTTGTACGGTGCACACTGGAGAGGATCAGGTGATAACGTGGGTGAAGTGGTGACTGATTGGCACAAATTACCTGGGCATGCAGTGAAGCGGGGTAGGTGAAAGCAGGCGGAGGTAGAGCAGGTGCTAACTCCGCTGGGTAGAGAGGGTATGGCGCCCACACTTCAGGGCTACTGGGGTAAAGTGCAGGCACTGTGAGCTCATCTGCAAGAGAAGAATGAGAGGCCATGGTTATAAAAACAGAAAACTCCGGAACCAACAAAACAACAACAGCATACACACAGAAGAGAATCTTCTTTAAAGCTGAACTAAAATGGCCCCTCCATCTCTCTCTCTCTTTTTTTTTAAAATTGCAATTAAAAGTAAAATCAGTAAGAACATTTCACTGGGAAATAAGGTGCAAAAGCCAAATACGTGTATAGCACACGTTAAAAGGCTGTGACTATCCCACAAAAGCAACTGGGCGTTGGGGCTGGAGAGAGAATGCAAAACGGGGCAAAGTTTATCGGCAGTCACAGACGGAGGGGGGGAAAGGAGCCCTGGTGGAAATCCTGGTCAAATGATTAATGGAGCTTCTTGGACGCTGCACGTAAAACTGAAAACGAGCTATATCTGAGTGGGGGGAAGAAATCTACAGTAAAGTACTCCTTTGTTATATTCAAGAATGAATTAATAAGACACGACGTACTTAAGGACATTTGTTGTGTGGGTTATTCCCAACAAAAAGAGATGCATCGGCTTGTAAAGAATACTTACATGGGGTGATTAATCACGTGGCAACTGCCCTCCCTAAATGGTCTCATCAACCTTTGCAACAGTGGTCCACAAACAATGGCTTAGCCCACTAGCCAGCCTCTATTTGTGCTTGCCGCTGCTCCCTTCCCCAAGGGACAAGGGACAGGCAAGTATTTCTCTCTTTGTGCTGGCACACAGAGAAAGTAAAGTATAATGGATGTCTGCTTTTTCTTTATCTTATCCATACCCATAGTGGGCAAGGTAACTCTCTCCAATAAGAGATGGAAAGAGAGTGATGGATCCCTGCTGTTTCTTATTGTCTCCGACCCCACAGCTCAACTGAAGAGCTTTACCTACCACCTTCGGCTTTGCCTGTCTGCCAGTGGATACAACCAAAGACTTCCTTCTGCCTGCCTGTCACGCCTAGACACCTAGTACTATGGCGCTACCAGATTTGAAGACCCTTCCGAAACAGCAAGACTGGCGGAAAGTGGAAACACTGAACGTAAAAACACCAAATGGGATGATTCTGTTTGGGAGGAAGTCCTCCAGCTGGCAGCATCTTTGAGATAAGTCTATTTGCTGATGCCAAATCAAGCTATAGACTTGCTGCACCAGTCTTGCCACCTCCTGAAAAGCCAAAAGCAGACAATGAGGCACCAGAAGAACCAGTCCAGCTGGAAGGGTTCCAATGGCTCTGATATGACAAAAATAACGTGGTTCAGATTCATAGCGTTTCCTGCATTGTTTAGTAATCATTTATTTGTAAATTTTGGATTGCACACCCCTACAAAATATCCAGCCACAAAGGAGAACGCCTCACGCAGTGTCACAACAAGTGCCCTCTGACCCCTTCCAATCACCTTCTGCCTCAGGCTGATCATTTCGGCTGTATATTGTACACTCTCAGAAGAAGATCTCCCAGGACGGTTTCAAATAGGTAGGTGTATTGGTCTGAAGTAGAAGAACAAAATCTGAGACCGATACCACCTTAAAGACCAACAAGATTTCCAGGGTAGAAGCTTTTGAGAGTCAAATCTTTCGGGAGACATCTGATGAAGGGAACTTTGACTCTTATATCCTGCCCTGACCTGGATGGCCCAGGCAAGCCTGATCTTAGTCAGATCTCGGAAGCGAAGCAGGGTCAGCCTTGGCTAGTATTTGGAAGGGCAACCTCCAAGGAGTACCAGGGCCATGACACAGAGGCAGGCGATGGCAAGCCACCTATGAACGTTTCTTTGCCTTCAAGTCCCTCTAGGGGTCACCAGAAGTCAGCTTGACTTGATGGCAAAAAAGAGAGAGAGAGAAATACTAATAATATTAATACTACTACTCAAGGCTTTTTTTGTTAGGAAAAGCCCAGCAGGAACTCATTAGCATAATAGGCCACACCCAACAACAGAAACTCATTAGCATATCCAGCCACACCCCTGACAGCATAACTCATTAGCATATTAGGCCACACCCACTTTGCCAGAAGTATGGTTATCCAGCCACACCCACCTCTTGCTTCTTATTCTGTTTACCTTGTTTGTTGTCAAAACCTTGGGCTTTTTTTTGTAGCAGGAACTCTTTTGCATGTTAGGCCACACACCCCTAATGTAGCCAATCCTAATGGGTTTCTGATGTTGGGTGTGGCCTATTATGCTAATGAGGTCCTGCTGGGCGTGGCCAACTTGGGAGCCAGCCGGAACTCTGTTCCTGTCCGTTCCTGCCCCAAAATAGCCCTGCTACTACTAATAAACAAGCTTATAACCTGGAAATCTTGTCGGTCTTTAAGGTGCTATCGGACGCGAATCTTGCTTTCCCCAGGACAGTGACTCATCATGGGAAAATAAACAAACAAAACCGGGTGGCCTTCTCTCAGAGCGGATAGTTCCCTCATATACTGTAAGAAGTAAATCTCTTTTGGGCGCAAAAGTGGCATGCCTCCCATTTGAATTAAAAGCAAACAAGCCTTTTAATTCAGAAAAAAAAAGTATCCCTGAGAAATGCTGCTTTAAAAGATGCAAAAGAGCAAAATTTAGCACAAATCTTTTTAAAGCCACGTCCACTTAAGATATGCGTAGCCGAATTAAGACACACACTCCCGTAAGCACAACTTTTTGCATGCCACAAACTGAGCGGCATCTGTAGTTGATACGGTCTTTCCAGGTCTGCACTTCTGGCTGCATGTGAGGATGGCTTCTTTACAAGCAGCTCTGTGACATCAGGGCCTACAAAGAGGAAACAGGGGAATCCCTCTGCTGTTCGTACAGGCAGACACAATGCCTGCCTCTTCAAGCATCGAAGATGACACGATCCCATTTCCATCAAAGTTCTGCTACTGTGAACTTAAACGCTGTATTTATTCTGACGCACGTAATCCGTGAGGCATCCACACCACATCCTGGGCCTATGGAAAGTTTCAGCTGTTCACAGGTTGTCACATTTAATCGCCACATGCATTTATAATGGCCGGGAGCCAAAGATGTTGGACTGGCGAGCATTTACAAGCAATTCTGTACGTGCTCCGAGGATTCCCCAAGTTTCCTTCTTCGAATGCACGCTGAAGGTCCCCTGGTCTCAGAACCTTGTGGAGCAGCACAGAGAAACGGAGAGGTTAGACCAAGGGAGGGCGGGGTATAAATTCAATAAATAAATAAATAAGGTGTGACATTAGTTGCTGTAGATTTTCCGGGATGTGTGGCCGTGGTCTTGGCATTGTAGAACCTGACATTTCGCCAGTAACTGTGACTGGCATCCTCAGAGGTATAAACACAGAAAGATGGAATACTCTCTGTGTCAAGGTGAGAAGAAAATGGTAGGCAGTAAATCTATATCTACTCCAGAAGGTGGGTAGGGCTGAGTCATTGCCTTGTAGGAGTTCCCCAGGCTATGGATATGCTAATGGAGGAGCTTTCCTGAGGAGGTTTCCTGCTTCCTGAGGAGGTTGTTGAAATTCTAATCTTATCTGTAGTGCTATTGTCTGATGTAGAGCCTTTTGTGTTTTTCAGGACAGGAAGCCATGTCCTATTTATTTTTAAACTCTCTTCTTTCCTATTGAAATTATGTTTATGTTTGTGAATTTCAATGGCTTCCCTGTGTAATCTGACATGGTAATTGAAAGTGTTGTCCAATCTTTCAGTGTCTTGGAACAAAATACTGTGTCCTGTTTGAGTTAGGCTATGTTCAGCCACTGCTGATTTTTCAGGTTGGCCAAGTCTAAAGTGTCTTTCATGTTCTTTTATTCTTGTCCGAATGCTACGCTGTGTGGTCCTGATGTAAACTTGTCCACAACTGCATGGTATGCGGTATACTCCTGCAGAAGTGAGGGGGTCTCTTCTGTCTTTTGCCAATTGTAGCATCTGTTGTATTTTTCTGGTGGGTCTGAATACTGTTTGTAGGTTGTGTTTTTTCATAAGTTTTCCCAACTGATGTGACACTTTGGATTCTGGCTTACAACATAGTCAGTCACTGCTCCTCTTCAGCTTCGCCCGGGGAGGGGGGGTCTAACAGGCTTCTGCCCTGCCTGTCTGCCATTCCACAATGGCACTGAGGTCCTTGCCAGCAGTAACAGAAGAGGTGGGGGTACCACCACGTAGGGGGAAAGAAAAGCGGTCCCCACTGCAGGCCTCTTGCAGTAGGCCAACAAAACTTGGAGTCCGCCTTGGTTCAGGGCACTTTTCAGCCTTGATTCATGGCACATTTAACAATCCTTTCCTTCCCCTGTTCCGAAACACAATGGCAGAAAACATTCAAGACCGACAGCCACAGGAGTTAAATCGCAGCCAAGCTGGCAGGGAATGCGCTTTAATTACACTGCAGATTCCGTGTTTATGCTGTTGATTTTAAAATAAGATAAACAGTAAAAAAACTTGGCCAGAGCTAAGGCAAACAACCCTCCCTCTTCTACCATTCATTCCTAAGGGCTGTGGTCATGCTGAGGAGAGAGCAACAGTCCTATAGAGACATACAGAGCACCCTAACCTCCCCCCCCCCAGATACGAGACGGGAGGAACGCAATAAGGACGTAAAGCCAAGAGGCAGATTCGTGTCTGCAGAATGTCATTCACCCCCTCTCGCTAAATAAGAGTTCTGGGGAAACTTTCCCCTCCTAGCGTTATCGGACAATGTAACTGCATTTGATCATATTCTTCCCCAATTATTTTTAGCTCTCGTGCTTAATTATCGTTTCTTTAGAGCTTGTTTTAGAAAAGGATTAGCTCAACTACAAAGTCACCAGTGTGAGAGCAAGGAGCATTTCCCCTATGTTATGATGCCACACTGTTGTGAGTATGCTGGAGACTGACAGCGGTTTTAAAGCAAGAAAACGGTATGATGGCCCTATTATTTTATGTGGTGTGCACTTGTTTTTTCTCTCCCACCATCATCTCTGGCAAGAAAGGTGTCACAGACGTCTGAGGCACACCAGAAACCTGCAAGAGTCGTTAATAATAGCAGACAGTACTCAAAAAGGAAACCAGGGT